ATGTGATATTCACCGGCAGATGACATATTTGCTGAGGCGATAGCCGAGATCAATATGACTTTCTGTCCCATATTAAATGGCACACTAGTCAATAATTTGATTTATCATATGAATAGATTACAAGGATTAAAAAGTACAACTTGATACATGTACAACTTTTGTCTGTTTCGTTAAGGTGCGGTAAAAAAGACGCACGTGTAACGCTTGCAACAACTACGCGAACGCTGCGTATACAAAAGTAGTTGGTGTAACTTTTAAATATAATTGTTAAGTGATGATATCGAGAAATATACCATAAAGAACCAAACGCAACATATTGTTTTAATAAGCAAGCGTTATTAACAGTCTACGATATATGATCTCAATCTATTCCAATTCAGCCAGTGAATATGATTCTACACCCAGTGAAAACGTTATGTTGACTACTATTGGACCAATGAGACTGCAGCTATATTTAGAACATATAATAAATAATTTTATTACACGAGTTTAAAGATCCTGTATGTTGTTATTGAGGTTGTATACCACACTTAAGTGAAATTATATATATATGTATATAATTATGCTTATAAAACAATTTTCAAACATAGTAGAATACTAGTATGTAAAATATGTACTGCAAATATTTGTACATATTATATGTAATCATTAAAATATATACATTGATTTCTTATTTAAAAATTGACTAAGACTTTATAGAAAATATTTTTTTTCATTACCTCCCTTTATTTATATGACATGTTAAATTCGGTAACATCTTTATAAAAAATGCTTTTTGGAACTTACAAAATTGATAAATCTCAATTTGAGCCTCATATTTATGATACAAAATCATAAAAATTTGTGTTACAGGATCTTTAATGACGAGCTGTAAATTATAATCCTTGACATGGTAAACATCTGAGATTCTTTTTATCATTAAAAAACTTTTAAAAAATATATAGATAATAAATATTAGAAAGGGTAAATAAATGAAACTTATTCTACAAATTGAAATATTATACAAGTTAAGAAGTTTCCAAAGCAGTGAACGTAAATCATTTCTTAAACGTCTACTTATAGTCTTACTTATAAGAGAAAACTACTGCGTTTTAAAATTAACTCGAGTACTTTTCTAAAGCTGTGGAGGTTCAACGTTTCTTTAACGTATTTTTACACGATGTCGTTTTTTTTTAAAAGTACATCGTGTAAAAATAAGTTAAATTATTTAAATTCACATCAATCACTGTTGAAATATTTCATAAATTTAATATGCGAATGCTGAAATGGACCTTACGCAATTCTAGGAACAGTGGGGATGGTTAGTTGAAACGAGATCACCCTTTTCATTAAATACCACTTAAAAAATCTCAAGGATGGACAACTATTTAAATGAGTTTATAAATGATTTTAAGTTTCGTTTTCAAGCTTTCATGATTTTTTTACTTTCAAGCGTTTATGAAACGCTGCTGGGAAATGGATTTTCACCTTTTTCCTGTAATACGATGATTGTGGTTCGAAAATAATTGAATTGTAGATTGTTCGCCCTTATCGAATAAATATTTTAACAGAGGAGGGTTTTCGAAGTATTATAATCAAACTTGAAACTGCACGAGTCCATAAAAAAGGTAAATATATTTGATAACATATCAAATATCAAACTGTTGATAAATCTTCAAGGCGGATATTAGATATATAATGTACATATGAAACTTATGTTTTATATAAATGTTGACGTCAGATTATATAATTCATTTGTATTGTCCAATTAGAAATTATTTTCACGGCTTTATTTGATCTTCCCTTTCAAGTACATGTATATATACGAGTAGTTTCTTTACTCACACATATAATTATTTTTTATAAGATAAATCATATGTAAAATTACCATCATGGTAAAAATATGTGTCTACGGCAACCACATCCTGTTTTATTATGTTGATTTACAAAAAAGGAAAAAAAATACCCATATTTGTGGGACACATTGCAACTAAAATCAAGGGTAGTGCCTTTTCAAAATGTGACAAAAAAAATAAACAGAACAGAACAGATTTTATTATTCACTCATAATATAATATGTCTTTCCATTAACTATGATCATATTAGTAATCCAGGTCATAAGTAATAGAAAGAGCATCGAAAAACGAGGTTATCTGATTTGTACGAGGGGGCGTAGTCTCCTAATATTAATCAGATTGCCTGTTTTTTTATGTTCTTTTTCTTTTAAATCAAAGTCAAACATAAAAAAAAACATTTGTCGTTACAATATGTAAACCCCGCAAAATGGACAAATCAATGAGCATGCTCTTAAGTGTGGGCTATCTAGTGCCTGCACTCCAGTTTTAACACTGACACATTTTCAACAGAAAGATCATCTTTGATTTAATATTACAGCCCATGCTACCAGTGCTACCAGTGCAGATATATTTCTGCCGTATGGCCTCCGTTCATGATCTGAACTTTTAGCTTTCAGTCAGTAAATGTATTTTGAAATAATCCCATAAAAGGTGTATGGTTTTGTCTAGATTGAATTCATTGGCTATATGTAAAAATCGGATTTGATTTACACCATTTTAATAAATAAAATGCCTCATCATGTTATGGTAATTCAATTTAGGGAACATGTTTTGGCTTAACACGTGCTGTGAAATAAATTTCTCAAACAGTTGTCCTTTTTTATACGATTTATCAAAATTTGCCTTTTCTTTGACAGCTGTTAATCAAATATGAGTTTTGATATGATTTAGAAGGAACAAAACCCACAACAACACTCCTTCCTGGTTGTTTAAAAAAGGAATGCCATATTCATTGATGAAATATGATTATTTTACTATTCAAAGTAGTCTTAGCCCAAGCCAAAGTCATGCTATGTGCTGATCGTTGCTAATTAAACATTGAACCTGAAATATAATATTAGTAATACAATTTTCTAGCGCCTCGCCGCGTATTTATATCGTTCTGGCTTTATTCTCCTGTATAGCCCGGCAGTATAAAGAATTTATAATAATGCAAGTTGTTAATGACGACAAGTTCATGTGAAGAAAACCCAAGCAACTTTAGACTGTTTTCAAAGAAATACGGGAGAAAGACGCACGTGACCAGTGGCTACGCTAACGCTGCGCATTAAAAAGCAATTAAAGAATAAATTAATTTTTGCAGTGTAAATTACAACTCTATTTCTTAAATGATGAAATTTGAATCGAGACCAAAACGCAATTATAAATTTTATGCACATATGTAGTTAAGTCTACAATGTAGAAATGCGTTGTTATTTGTGCGCACTTCGGTTCTTCATAGTATAAATTTGCAATATGAAAATTATTTTCTTTGTTCACTTTACCATATACAATCTTGAAATACATTTTCAAAATTTTCATGAATATTAGCATGGATCTGGAGGCATACTGCTTTAATGAAAACATAAAAACCGCTCTAATTTTAGTGCAATGAATAAACAAACTTTAAAGGAATTAAAGTGTTATTTAATTTCAGAAACTTACAATAGAAAAAAAATAAATGAATGGTTTCGAATGACAAATAAGAATAAAATAGTTTAAGTACTACACTTGCACACACTATGCATGCTTTTGCAAAATATAAAAAAAAGAAAATCAATTTGATAACTTGAACCTTATTTTGAAATAAAAATGTGTTCATGCGATGCCTTACATATTAAGGGAGGTTGAAATTTGAAATAAAATGTTAATGTAAAAACAAACGTCTGCGATAATATGGTTTTATATCCTAATAGAGTTGCTAATACGAAAACGAGCGTTTTTAGATCGTGCAATTTGTGCATGTTTTGCGTTGATAATCAGTTTAATGTGCTATTATCATATAAAATTGTCCCTTTTTTTCTTCTTAATCAGATTGGCACGGTTTATGGGACAACAAAAAACATACCTTTCTTGCCATTTACTAGAATAACGCTGGAGGTATTGTCAGATGAGGCTGTGTCTAATCTAAAAAAAAAAAATGTCAAAGCTGAAATTTTGAAACAAATTGCCACAGCTGGTATTAAATTTACTGCCGCTATAATTGTTGTGTTTGTTGTGTGAGCTTTAAATTTAAGACACACCGTAACTGAAAAGGTCTTATGACGACTGTTTGCCTTCAAGTTCGAAGGAAGGCCTCGATTGCAGCATTATTTCGGTTGCGAACGGGTACCTGTTTAGAACAACTGACATTCTTTAATCTATCTTGATAGCTTCCTCACCTTAAAACAATTAAAATTTTCCGTATAGCGCTGAGGGGCAAGTGATTTAAAGTCAGTGACTTTAACACAATTTTACGGAGGCCCAGATACCGAAATGTCGAGCTTAGCTTGATTGTCATCACACATTTATTTCAAATTATTTTTATATATACTACTCCCCGCGGGTACCGCGTCCTTGCCTATTCCGATGCAATCAGAAAATGTGTTTCTTTACACACTGAACGGGACCAATTGAATGATTCCATCATTAAAGTGAAAGTGGAAGTGCTGCTTTTTTAATTTGGATAAAAATTGTTAGAAATATTTTCATTTTAAATAAATTTCTGTCATTGATAGGAAAATCCAAAACTACCCGAGTGTGTTGGAATTTTTTTTAAATTTTACCCCACATTTACCAGTTAAACTGATAATTTCATGTTCTGACAAGTGAAGGTCGTCTGCTGAAACTGTAGTGATGTCATATTTTATTGAAAAAGTTCTACTGAAGCCAAAAAGGGCCATCAATTTACATACCACGGTACCATAGTGCTCTCCGTTTAAGCTGCCATTCAAAACATGTCTGAATGACCATAGATGTTTCTAATTTAAATCATTGAGTTATTCTATGAATGACAGGTGTATTTTAAAGGCAAGATGCGACAGTTAAACACAATTTATTAAAATAGTAAATACAAGTTCTTTTTATGTGTACAATTTGCTGGAAATAATAAGAACAGTGGTACCATAGGGGACCATCCTACGTAAATCTTCATTTTTTTCTTCATCTTCATTTTTTTTTATCAAAACAGTTCTATTTTTCTTTCAGAAAATGTACATATTTCACATAAAATGATTCATCGTATAAAGAGACAAGTCTCGCAAAAATATGCAAGGATTCCGGATATCATATTGACGGAAATCATCGGAGGTAACCGGAAATCATTTTTGAAATTTAGAAGGAAAAGGAAGAGGCCTTTAAGTCCAATATATATTTTAAATGAAGAGAAGAGTCGTATGGGGGAGAAAACAGACACTGTCCAAGTAAGTACCAAATTCCTACACCATTATTATTGCTTTTTCGCCATTTAACCCTTACCTACTTGAACCGGAAGTGAAAAGTATTTGCACCCATTATAGAGCCAGGCCAGCCTGCAATCCCATGCAGTCTGTTTAGGCACAATACCATCAGTAGCTTTTTCTTTGTACGTCCCAAACTTTAATTCAGATCTTCCTTATTCAATGCAGTAAATCCATTAAAATAGTGGTTTTAGGGTTAACATTTAAGTACTGGAATCATTTTGATCAATAAACGTTACAAGATAAGCTTGTTCAAGCAGTCTAAAACGCCACAGAGGTAGTTTTTCCACTTCTTTATTTATCTCGTAGTCAGGCGATAGTATTTTATTTAAATCATTTAGTTATCTCGTTCCCGTGAGATAAATAACGACGTGCACGTGTATTATCTGTGCTTTTACATGTATTACGGTGCTAGGGAGGTGACAAATTTACTTCTTTGCTTAACTCCTATTAACCACGAGATAATAGTTATCTCGTTCTCGTGACATAAAAAAAACTAAGTGTACATGTCGTTATTATCTGTGTTACTGTAACGATGCTACAGAAGCGCCGAATTTACTTATCTCGTAGTCAAAGGACACTATCTCGTGGGGAAAAAAGATAATGAGCAACGCGAGCGAGCAATATATGACTCCCCTTTTCTAAATCTGAAAATGATTGAAAATGTTCCGTGTAAATTCATTACAAATACATGTATTTTTTTCACAAAAGTGTTATTTTAAGTACATTAATTGCAGTGTACACATTTGTACGAGGATATCCAAAACTCGGCGCATGCGCTTGTAGATAGATGTGCAGGAACCAGTCACGTGACTGTGGTTGCTGAAGTTGTTCTGGACAATCAAATGTATATGATTCTACCTAAAGATCTCGATAAATCACATATCGACACTGGACACGGCCTGTTTATTGTCAACATGACTCGAAACTTTTCAAATGACTACAAGATACCGGATCTTAGTCGAGTCAAAGGTAAGCCTAAGATTCTTTTTAGAATTACACTGCGGTAAAAGAATCAAAGTGTAATTAAAAAACAAACTTGCATGACAATACGTTGGAAAACAAAAACCATTATGATTTGCATATTTAAAAACATTAAGTTGGTATATGTAATTTGGATGCTGATTTGTGAAGATGAAGAAATGAAAAATGTAATGATTTTCCTAGAAGGCACATTATGCCTTAGAATCATATAAATATTTACTTGTTTTAGAAAGGGCAAACATGCGTATTATAACGTCAAAATAATGCTTTTAGAGTATGTCAGATGCTTTTACCCGAAAAAGTAGTGCTCTGGTTTTTTTTACCATAAAAGTATCAAAATGTAAACAAAGTAGAATTTTGACTTCCTTACAAACTAATAAATAACTATAACTGTAATAATTGCAAAAATACAAAAGAGCAAAAAAAAATGGTTTAGATAATTGGCAAATGAGTAACATTCTGGAAACTATAGTACACTAAATATAAACAGCAGAAATGTAAATTAAAACATTTCTAAGGCATATTGGGCCTTTAACTACTTTCCATGGCAAGCAAAAAGATTCCGGAAGATTTACTCAGCATTTTTTTAAGTCAAATTGCTGTATTTCTAGTTTTGTACTTTTTTTTCAAATAATTATAAATGACTTAAACCCCAGTCACACTAGAGCTTACGATTACTTGCGACCACCGGCGACTTGTAAAACTGACGATCATCAGCGATTGTCTGCGACCGAAACCATTTTGCTCAGATAAATTTACTTTTGCGAGTATCGTAAGACAAGTCATCATTGACAATCGCACGACAGGTCATAAGTAAACGTACGATGGTCTCAAGATTGCCTTGGATTACTTACGACTACACGTGACATAACATGCGATCACCTACAACTTGTCGTACGACCATCACACGATTATTAAAGACTACTTAAGATTATCAGTGACTAGTGGCAATTTGTAAAGACTGTTGTAAGATTGTCGCACTTCCGAACGACCATCGTGCGACAGCCATAAGACCTTATAAGATCACTAGCGACCTGTTTGATCGCAAGGAGGTTTTGGTGCAAGCTCAAAAACCTCTCTACAACTGAAATTGGTCGTGGGACCTAAATAAGATAACCTGCGACTGTCAAAGATCATCGATGACCGTGGTAAGACGTTTTAAAGATTTTCCGCGACCAGAGGTCACTGGTGATCGTGAACTTGTCTTCACTGGTCGTAAGCTCTAATGTGACTTGGGCTTTATTCAACACGTTTTTTTATATTTCTTCTAGATAATTCAATTCCAAACGTCAATCATCGGTTACGGAGGGCGGCTGATCGAACATTCGTGGAATTAATGCTTGTGGTAGACTATAGTCTATACTCATTGTATGTAACCTTAATAATACTTTTTTAGAAATTGTAATAATGTTGAACTTCTAATTAAATTCTGTATTTTTATATTAAGAGAACATTTTAACTATTCCGTATTATTAGTCTTAGTATTTATTGTTATAACGATTTTTTTTGTGTCCACTTGACCAGCCTTTGACCAAGCTTTGAACTAGAATTTTAGGGACGTAAGTTTTTGCAACGATTTAAGATTGCAAAAAAAAAATCAGAGACGGACTTCTTTCTCGCAACACAAACAAACTGTTTCTTTATAAAACTGCGAACATCCCAAAAAAGAAACGAAAGTCAAGTCGAAAATACTTTAAAAGGTTTCTTTATTTTACAGTTGGCGAGCACAAACTACCGGTACAGAAGTAGAGCGTGATGCGGCAGCCCTTGACCTTATACAGAAAATGTATACTTTCCTAGGAAATGGAGTAAGCAAGATTGACTTTCTTGAGGATACATTGTTTTCTTTTATTATTTCAAGTTTGTCTTTTTGCAATTGTTATTGGTCATACAAAGGCGTTATAACTTCTCAAAATTCTATTTTATTGCACCTCTGTCCATAGATTTATCTTTTGTTTATGCACACCAATCTTTTTCAATCGAGCAAATATAGATGTATACTGTACACTGAAACACGTGCTTTGCATCAAAGCATCGTGTCTTCAGATTCATGGTTATTTCATGAAAATTTTGAAAATGTAATAAAGAGTAAAATGTTTGCAAGTGACCAAAGAAAGTAATTTACACATTGCAAGTGACATTTGCAATCCACGTAAAACACAAAAAAAAATGTCATCAGTATGCAAGAAATAAACAAAATGTAAATTAGAAGAATGTTTGTAGAAAATAAGCTCGTATTGAAATCATCGAGCGTATCTAAAACCCCAATACATCAAGTTTTAGTTTAAAAAATGTCAGAAATAAGAAGTTTGATAATTACTTTCATTAACATTTCGTTCGACGTAATAAACAGCGTTACGTATATACTCTACGTTACGTATTTCTTACATATATGATGTGATAGTACATACCAAAGTGTGTGTTTGATTTATATACTATTTTTCATCATGCATTTATCGCCATTGTAAACTACGGAAGACGACTGTAAACATTTCAACTTCATGAATTCACTATTATAATTTCACGTACATTCATAAAGTTGAAATCGTGAAACAATAGAGTTGAAGTCGTGAATTCGTGAAGATGAACCCGAGAATTCAAGAAGTTGAAATGTCTCCACCGGTCTTCCGTGGTACGTTAACCTTTTGTATTTATTCATGGTACTGTGACGTTCCCCTTTTACTATAATAGTTTATTTTTCACCGTAGATTCATTTGCGGTACCAGGGTTTACAGACTACCTATGGTCTTGATATCGACGTGGAGCTAACTGGCATCTATGTGCTTCAGGTAGAGTATTAAATTTCTTAAATTTCTTTGAAATTGCATAGCATAAAACTTTGGCGTTAATATCACAACTGTGTTATATAAAACATCAAATTAACTGGTCTAGTTGTCTGGGGCGTCCTTGGTGCGAGTTGTTAAGGCCATCGACTTCAAATCACATGCTCTTCACCGTTGTAGGTTCGAATTCCGCAAGGGACTTTGGATTATTTCATGTGAGGAAGCTATCAGGCTAGCTTATGGAACATTGGTGGTTCTACTCAGGTACCCTTTCGTACCTGAAATCATGCACACAGGGTCAGCTGAGGTCTTTCTCCACGAGTAAAAACTGGAAAGTCGCCATATGACCTTAACTGTGCGACGTTAAATGTAAAAAATGAGATGCTTTGAATACGCTGTCAGGAGTGAAAGAAGAACAATGTTGGTGATATACCAAGATTTATTACGATCATTGCACGATAAAAATAATAAGCTACAAAGTATACATGTTAGCAACAAAAATTACCGTATACGTATATAATATTCACAACAATAGATGCATGATACTGAAAGTTGCAGAGTTAATCAATGCAATACGAGTTTATATTACATTACATTACATTATATTATATTATATTATATTATATTACATTACATTATATTATATTATATTATATTATATTATATTACAAATATATATATATTGGAAACTGTTTGATTGTTTTTTGGGGTTTTTTTTGAAGACAGCAGAAGAGTCGGCATTTACACAGAATGCGGACACAACATTATTTTCACGTGGTGTAATTGACGGAGAGATCCTCCTCGGCGAGTTTGAAAAATGGATTAAAACACAAAAAATCAGCAATCGGGACACATTTATGAATAAGGATCACTACATGCTTCTCACAGCGTATGTCTTGTTACTTTTTGTTTTCGTTTTGTTTTTTCTTGAAATCTTTTTCTACTATTTTTTTTTACCAAAACTGAACAGTATGTTGACTTTGTTGCAATCCACTGACCTTCAAATTGCATGCCACACCTACTACTTAGGTTTTGAGAAAGTGACGTGCTTCATGAAAAGGCGGTCTAACAGGTTTAAAAAGAAGCTTTAATGGTTACTACTTAATTGAATGTCGGCTCATGCATGAGACCATGATCAAATGCACCGACCTTTAAAACTGGTCGCAAAATAACCATAGCAATGGTCGTGTTGTGTAAAATATATGTTCAGCATAACTTAACCTTAAGATAGGTTGTGAAAAAAAACACACAACTGATGAGTTGAAACAAAATCATCATCATCATCATCATCATCATCAACAACAACAACAGCAACAAAAACAAAAACAACAACATCATCATCATCATCACTTTTATCAACAACATATTCATCATCATCATCATCAACAACAACAACAACAACAACAACAACAACATATTCATCATCGTCGTGATCGTATTTTATGGCCGCTATTATTATTTTTATCATGATGACTTTGTTTTAATCATTTATTGCAGACGAGAAATTGCCCTGACCGGAAACGCCGGTGCTGCAGGTAAGATCTTCAAATGATATAAAAATAAATCCCTATTTGTAATAATTCGTTAATATGATATTGTTGGGATGCTGGTGCAACTTATAGTATGAGGTCATTATAACCACATTGTTGAGTACAATATTGAATTACATGGGATGAGTACATAACTGTTAAACCTGTATTGGACGAGGCGCAAATCGAGTCCGATAAGGGTTTGAAGCTGCGTATGGGTCCAGTTTAATTAGTATTCTCCTTTACAATGTATAATGATCTCTATTTGACACCACCATTTATTTGACATTTTCACAGAACGTTTTTCACTTTATGTAAAATAAGGATTTGGTATGATTTTTATTATCTGAAAATAAAAGCAAAGCTTGATGAATTACAATATGTATTTGATATAGTTATTTTGGACTCTGAAAATGAAAACAAGGCTTTATATGGTACAATATGAATTGAATATGGATTAGTTGGACTCAGGAACAAGAAACGAGGCTAAATCGATAGGATTTGATACATGTACAATAATGATTTATTTTGGAACATCACGTGGTTCGAATGATGAAGTTTAATTATCAATTTTTTAATGTGTGAAATAACATGACTTATAATCTCCATGTTGTACAGGCTTAAGTATTTTATTTGAACTCTAAAATCTAATTTGTTATTAAAGTTAAAATTTACAAACTGACCTTTTTTATTTCATACATAAATGTTATGTCAGAATTAAAAGCAAATTCCACTTACAAATCATTATAATTACTGTTTATATTCTAGGTTATGCATATACTGGAGAAATATGCACTGATAAGTCTGTATCAATCGTAGAAGACAAGGTTAATTTTATATCCGTGGTAACAGCGGCACATGAACTCGGCCACAGGTAATTCTGAATTTGTAGTTATATAATTTCAAAATGTATGTGGTAATAGCGTTGCATAAGCTTGGTCATAGGTGGTTCTGTGTTTATATAATTATGTGGTAACAGCGGCACATAAACTTGGCTACAGGGAGTTCCGAGTTTATATGATTATGTGGTAGCAGCGGCACATGAATTCGCCCACAGGGAATTCTGAGTGTAACTAATTTATGATAAGGTAATAGCGGCACATGAACTCGATCACAAATAAATCTGAGTATATAACATTATGTGGAAACAACGGCATAAGAACTCGGTATCAGGTAATTCTAAGTTCTGATTTCATATGCTTATGCAGTAACAGCGGCACATGAACTTTGTCACAGGTAATTCTGAGTTTATAATTATGTGGTACACGTGGTAAAAGCTGCACATGAGCTTAATCACAGGTAATACTAATTTTATTCTTGTGGTAACAAGAACGTACTAGTCTCACAAATAGGACATAATACATGTATACTATGTTACAACTAAAACATAAGCCCTGTTGCATGTTCTTCTGATTTAATATAATATGTGGTATGAGCTTTATAAAAGCTCAGCCATGAATAATTATGCTGAAGAAACTGGATAACAGCGTCACATGAGCTCAAACATATATAAATTATGGTGGCTGATTTGTGCCATTCGTGTTTTCGCCCCGCGACACCGCCAATTTTAACAAGTTAAAATGGCGGGGGCAAGGAGCGAAAACATGCTAGAAAGCGAGGGCGCGAGGCAAAGTTTAATAAATAAAACCATAGGTAATTGTAAATATGTGGTCATATAACAACTTCGTATAAGCCTTACCAAAGATTATTACGACCAACAACCTTTAATTTGGTTTTATTTATCAAGAGGTAACAAACGCACATGAGGGCGACTGTTTCTGAATATGTGCAATGGTGCAATGAATTATTAAGTTTTTTAGAAGCAACGTAGTAAATTTAAGAAAGTAGTATTATAAAAGAACCGTGTCAAATTTGTTGTGATAAAACTAAAAACTCTATTTTTTGTAAAGTTTAGGGGGATTGCACGACAAAGATGCCGGTGATCAGAACTGCCAGGATGAATACGGATTCATACTTTCTTCAATCAACTCTGTCTATATAGACTCGAGGGCGACACATCCTTGGAAGTTTTCTCCATGTTCAGCGAACGCATTCAAATCAAAGCTGGACGATCTGAAAGCGTAATAATTATACTTCTTTTTATCAGCAGTTATAAAGTGACATTACGCTCATTTATTTCGCTGTCAAGTTGAGTTGAATTAGTAATATATATTATAATTGCACTTAACCAATAATTATTAATGAAAAAGGTGGATGATACGATATAAAATCTACCTGCACTACAAAAATGAATTGGGCATTACCGATACATTTTGAACACTATTAATAGAAAATTGCGGTGGTCATCTGGATTATTAACTATTTTTTCCTAGTCAAATAAAAATCAGAATTACATTTGATTTATTGATAATACAAACTATTTCTTGAACTGGGAATATTTTTTCTTGAAATATTTAAACATTTTTTCTCATAGTTGATTTTCTTGAAATAAGCATCTGGAGGCATGCATCTTTAATACACTTACTATACAATGTTTCTGTGTTTCTTTTATCTAGGTCAGGAAATAACTGTTTGAAAGAAGACGACACCGAAACGGTTCTTCAACCGACCGGAAGTCCACCGGGTCAGTTATATCCGCCTGACAAACAGTGTCAGTTAATGCTTGACCCGGACTCAGTCATGTTTCGAGTGTGTAGTGCCTTTAAGTACTTTTTAATTATCTTATTTATGCAATCGACAGTATTAATGAGAACTTTTTAAAAATTCTTTATGTTATTACTATTATCATTAAAAGCACAGAAGAAATGAATAAAATTTTACTTCTTTAGATAGAGCAAACATGAATTAAGTAACATTTAAATAATGATTTTAAAGCAAGTCACATGCTTGTAACCCGCACAAATAATCGATAGATATGAAATAATGTGTCATTTAAGTAGCAAAATGTAAACAAAGTACACATGTAGTATTTTGACTTCCATACAAAATACTAAATCACTATAACTGTACAAACTGCAAAAACGCAGCACTCGAAAAAATGGTTCAGGTAATTAGCCAATGAGTAACTTTTTGGAGCCTTTAAAAGTATGCCAAAAATAAAAAAAATATCTTTTGAGAAATATACATAAAAGCGTTTCTAATCCATAATGGGCCTTTAATTATCATTATTATTATCATTATTATCATTTTTATCATTATTATTATTATTATTATTATTATTTTTATTATTATTATTGTTGTTGTTTTTGTTGTTTAAGTTTATATTGTACAAATATATTGTTCGACAATTTGAATCGGCAAACGTCCTACATTTACTTATCTGATCAAGATTTAAAAAGACAGCGATTCTGTGCTGTTCCGTGTCATATCGAAGCTTTTTATGTCTCTTGAAGGCATTATTAAAGCTTTAAAATCACGGAATATTATAAGGATCTTACATATTTATACCGAGGCTTACGGCGGTAACGAGACTCTACCGAGTTTCCGCTATACAGTAACCCGAGAGCTAGATATTTGTGTTTTTTATGACAGCCCTATTCATGCTATTGTTGATTCTTATTCTTACATATGACATATTAATCATTATTGAGAAAGAAATAACGAGAAATAATATTTTCATTCAGGATTATCTTCTTATAGTAGCGTATGAATTTACAAATTTATTCATAACAGCACAACGACGCCGGTTAGAGAACGGAATTCATTCGTGAACGGCGCGCGGAATTTTGCCATTTTAACTACACGATTTGTCTTACATGGGGGTGGGGGGAGGGAGAGGGTGGTGTAAGATAGGTTTTCTAGCATCGGTGTAACCTGTAGATAATCCTGTGTGATATGCATGAATGTTAACTGTTTCTTATTCAACCAAAAAAGATAAGTTTTTAATCCAATAAGAAAAATATTCATAAAAAAGTATAAAAATGAAATTGAAGTAAAATGAAAAATTATTCTACAAGCATTATTACGGCCAAGGAGTTATAATCATACACCGGCCACACATTAAATAAAAATATACTCGGGTATATAATTATATAAATATATATTTATATTTTCTCCAGCAAAGGCATTCTACTGCATGGGAGAGGATATGTACGGCCATGGCATGCACTCAACTTGGATTTACAAAAGTAACGTATGTTATACCTGCAGATGGTACAACATGTGGAAATAAAAAGGTATGAGTTTCTTTAAAAGAAGTTTTTTGTTAAGATTTTCATTTTTTTTTGTGATATAGGATTCTAAATTGAAAAATGGAATATTACTCACGGTATTTTTATTTGTGCACGGCTTTTAAGTTTTTACAATTATAACATAATTTTAGAATGAAGTCAGGTAACATTGAACAAATGATAAACAGTGATTTCCCTATCGGCTTACTAAGGGAAGTAACTGCGATTGAAAAAAAATAGGATTGATAAAATAGAAGAAGGTTGCCTTCCTTAAACATAGTGATGATTGTCGATACCAGTAGAATGCCGTTTGTTCATATTTAATTGGTTTATCTACTGATGCACGAGGACGTTTTTAAAACCCGAGCCAATGGGGTCGAGATATTAAAAAAAGTATAAGGGTTTTGCACAAAAATACTGCACTTGCGGAATAATTGCAGTGTGCTATTTTCAAATGACGGCCTGATTCACGCATATTCAACAACGTGCAACGACGACACGTGTTCCCGTGATGTTACATGTTTGTCGTCTCCGTTTATGGTCTACTGCGTGCAAGAAGAAATTATTTCAAATTGCGCAACATCCTTAAATATTCAATGCCAATTATAATATTGTTTTTAATTCACAATTTGTTTTTTTTATCTCTTAACATGCAAAAGTGTTTTTATCCATTGCAAATGTAAATATTGAAGAAAGGAATAAAAAAGAATATAAAGATAACGAGCTTTATAATCTCATTATATTGTTGTCTTTACCTTTAAATTTGAAGTCATTTGATTTAATTACCAACTGAAGATTATATATCCAAACACAGCTTTTGCGAACATCTAAACAATAATAAAGAGTTTATGTACCTTTTTCTTGTGCATTAATTAATTGTGCATAAACATCTGCAAAAGCACGAAGACGAGTTTAAAGCCCGAGGACGATGGATTTAACCAGTCCGAGGGCACACTAAATGCCGTTAAATGCGGTTCCGTACTTCTACAGACGGTAATGCACGAACAAATGTGCTTTTTCCTCTATTCAGACACAAATTAATGGAAATGTATTTATTAAACGTCTTCGTGGAGTACACATCCAATTTACGAATGCGTTTCGAAAATTACGGTAATGACAAAATTTCAGAAATAAGTTTGGTTTGTTTTTATCAGAACAAAAAAAAATATCATAAATTAGATTTGCATATTTTAAAATTTTGAGAAATTTTGTCTGCTGTGAGAATGAAAAAGAATAAAATAACGTTTTAATGAAATAAAAATGGAATATGGTACAAAGTAAAAATGAAATCTTGATGATTTTATATGAGCCGCGCCATGACAAAACCAACATAATGGGTTTGCGAGCAGGATGGATCCAGACTAGCCTGCGCATCCGCGCAGTCTGATCAGGATCCATGCTGTTCGCTTACAAACCCTATAACAAGTAGATAAACTGATAGCGAACAGCATGGATCCTGATCAAAACCGCGCGGATGCGCAGGCTGATCTGGATCCATGCTGGTCGCAAACCCATTATGTTTGTTTTGTTATGGCGCGGCTCATTATGTACTTTTAAATATTGTATTTACAGTGGTGCTGGAATGGTAAATGTGTGACGGCAGTGGAGGCCCCCGAAGCAGACGGTATGTTTCTGACAAAAATTAAGAACAACTTTATCAGTTACCATTTAACTCAGATGATGAAAATCTACGCAGGCTCATGACTAATATACGAACCGCCATTTTGGTTTTTCCCTCTAATAATGACGTAACATCGATAGCATCCTCTCACGTGACAAGCATTTTCTAAATATAGAAAAAAATTGCCAGCGGATTTAGGTTATCGCCAAAATGATTACTGGCATTTCGCTAAGGTGATGTTTTCTACGAAAAGGAAATTTACGTGTATGCTAGAGTACTTTCACATCTTTATTGCTGCAAATAATTGTCAAGCTGTTTCCATTATTCAAACAAATAAAACAATCCGTACTCAATATAGATACAGTCATGTACTCGTGTAACAAAATTTGTTGGCAGTTTTTTTTAATGACTTTGTTGTTATCAAAGGCACATTATGTCACATTAACGAGAACATTTTACTCTTTAAGAAAGAGCAAACATGCATTTTACAAAGTTTAAATAATAGTTCTAGAGCATGTTATACGCTTGTTACCGGAAGTGACAAAGCGCCAAATGTGAAAAAGATTGCCATTCAAAGTAGAAAAATGCAAACAAAGTAGTATTTCGTTCAAAAAGCAAAAGAAGAAAACGGCGGTTTAGGTAATTGACCAATGATTTATTTATTATATTTATTTATTTATTTATTGGTTTGTTGTTGAAAATATGACTGTAAACCAAAAATAAATAGCTTCTGATAAAGATAAAACATTTCTTGGGCAAAATGAGAATTTAAAGTATGAACAGAAAATCAGCAACATGTCAATTATAAATAAATAAATAAATAAATATCTTGGGCAAAATGAGCCTTTAAAGTATGAACAGAAAATCAGCAACATGTCAATTATAAATAAATAAATAAATAAATAAATAAATTAATTAATTAATAATCTGCACAAGTAAATTACTATTTCTAAACACAGAATCGTGTTTACACGGAGACCAGACAGGCAATTTCATCAGCGGAGCATCTTGCGCCACAACTCTTGCTGGAGACCAACTTTGGAAATGTTATCAGGTGACTATAGAACAGCCCTGTTGCGCAACGTGTGGTGCTGGCAAAACCGACATAGAAGGTAAATTACTAGTTTCTATTAAAGTAACAATATCGGTATTTCAATTAAAGATACACTCTTCTCATCTTTGAGTTAAATATTCTTATTGCAGAAATAAATTGATATCTATAAAATTCGTACTGGATAAGTCTTATTTTAAAAAAGAGAACGTACAAGCTATATATAAATGAGAATATGCGTTCCTTATTACGGGTCAAGTAAAGCGATCCTTCTTTAAAATACAAAACACTACCATTTTTAGTTCCATATTACGGGTCAAGTAAAGCTGAGCATTACAGAAGGTTCGAACCTGCAGCCTTGCTTGACTTCCTGATGTCAAAGACGTTATTCACGGCAAAGGGTTATATTAAACTAGTGTTACTTTAAAATTGCGTGTACTCTATTTTCTTTATTTCATTTATTTTCCTTATACATGTACATAGGTTGCAAATACGGTGATGAAAGCGATTGCAGTCAAATTAGTTCTAAGCAGTGCTACGACAAAAACATACACGAATCACAATGCTGCAAAACATGCCACGATTTTGCACAGTCATACGTCAATCTACCAGCAGGTAATGTACTGCTCTTTTACAACTCATTTTGGATGGGTTTGAGTGTTCAATTCACACCGATACTTTGAAAAGTCCATATGGCGACTGTCCAGCTTTTGTGGTGAAGAAAGATGTCGGGCGTAATTTCGTGCTTTATTTCCGAATCTTCCATAAGCTAGCTGGTTATCTTCCTCACATTAAAGAATCAATGATCCTTTGCAGGATTCGAACCCACAGCTGTAAAGGGCAAGTGATTTGAAGTCAGCAACCTTAACCACTCGGGCACGGAGGATCTTAACCTTTAAATCACTCTGTGTTGACCACATCAGGTATCGAACCAACGGATTCGTGGTTGAGAAAGATACCACAATTACTTACAATTACTGGGATTAGGAAGAAAACACTAAACATTTAGAAAGGCCCTATTACTTATAAAGATTTTTCTACATAAATACTTACCAAGAAGACGGTAAATAAACGCAAAATCACTTAATTTATATATTAAAATAGTTGTTGAAAACAATATATTAACTGTAAAATCAGATATTATTTTCCTCGAGTGATAATGTTTCGCTACTTTCGCATGTATAAGACAATTGTACTAAAATACATTTAAGAGCAAAAAAAAATTAAGAACATCTAATCTCAATGAAATATTGAGTTCACGGAAGCTTGACCTCCTAAACATTTAGGAATTTAATTTTAAAAATGAGCCCAAATATCTTTTCGTTCTGTATAGATTGTAAGTACGGGGACAGGAAAGCAGGATGTGACCGCTCGGACACGACCTGTTCACGTTTCTACACAGATTGCTGTGCAACATGTAGTGGATATACGCCACCATCTACCCCACCAACAGATAAACCTACGACGCCACCAGTGACGTCAGATAATCAAAACACACCAGAGAAAACGACACAAGAAGTAACGACGTTGGTAACCCCTTTAGGAAAGAAGGAAGAGGGACTCCCGAGTAAGATATCTAACACAGTACCTGTAAAATGCCATTTTTGTACATGGTTTTATAATTAATGCCCGTTTTCCTAATACTGTTGCATATTATTTCTAAATAAGGTTGACTATTCGAAAAAAGTGAAAGTATAGTGATAACAATTATACTGTTTTTGCGTGCAAGTGCGTATTTCCAGAATTACTGCATGCAATGAGTTGAAACTTACACATACACATATATTTGCCAGAATAATACGAGGCTAGCTACTCCCCAAGTCCCATAACTTTAATAAGGGGTTTTGGCTGAATTATGACCCTCTTTGAACTATGAAAATTCTGCACTACACAAGCAAAGCACTCAGAATAGTCGGGCGTCTTTTTAACAGGTTTTGTTTCTTGCTTTGTTTGTTGTTTTGCTTTTATTTTTGATATTTTGTTATTACAAACACAAAACTGTATACATATAACAGTTATCAAAATTCTACACACTACAACTAATTTTAATAAGCTACTTTTATTCTGAAAAAGCATCTGTTACCTCAAATGAAAAGTAGAACATATTCTCGAAACTTAATCAAGCACACCGACTAAAATATTCCCTGCTTGCAGCGTTTGGGAAGGCACGTTTGAATGTCCAAGAAGTTAATGTTTCTTACTTGCAGAAAACTTTAACGAAGATAAGTGCTTAAATCTAATGCCATAAACAAAATCAATTAATATACATATATAGAAATAAAATAAGTTTTAAGAGTCTCCTTTTGTAACTACAGTGGAACCTGTCTAATCCGATCCCGTTTGGACTAGAATAAAGTTCGGATTAGAAAGGTTTCCGGATTTGAAGGTAATTTTGCATATTTGTATATTAAACGATATATGAACAGAAATAACATTATTGTTCTGATTTTTTTCCATTCTAAAGGTTGGGTACTTCCGGTTGTGGCCGGGGCAGCAGGGGTTATCGTTCTTTCCATTATAATCGGGGTCTGTGCATACTGCATGAAGCAGAGTCCTAGTAAGAAATACAAGGGCGAAGGAAATACAAATTATAATGTAAGTCATTATATAAAATTATATTAAAAAGTGTTCAGTAATGAAAATGAATTAAGAACATTATTGCATAAAAAGATGACTGTTAAAGTGACATTATGCTCTTTTTTATTGCATAGTTAAGTTGAGCGAAATTGCCTATATATTTCAAAAGGTTGACTGATATAATGGTGATTTACCAACAGTTGATATCGGAAAATGTTTTTTATAAATATACATCTGCCTAAAATATAAAAGGCTGCCCCATTTTTTCATAAATCGAACCTTACAGGTAATTTCCGAAAGATATTTATATCTTATGTCATGTGAGTTTATCTATCGTTCATTCCAAGTTAAATTATACAATTAAATGGAATTAAGACAAAATATAAACTTATTTTGACTTTCACATCTTCACTCACTTTATACCCTTCGATTGACAAAATGTCGCCTAAAGAAAGTTTAATTCGCTAAATCATAGGTCGCCATTTGAGAAAAAAATCCTTTTACTGATAAAAACATCGTGTAAAGACTAATGCTTAATTGAAATAAGCAATGAAATCCAAAGATGAAAAGAATAGGGTATCATAGGAATTTTTTATACCGTATTATATAAATGATGCTGCGAGCTTATAGACATCATCTCGAATCCGATCCCAAACAAAGGGTATTAGATAATCATGGTCAAGGAAACAACGGCATGCCCTTAACGGGGTTTGAACCCATGCGGTAAGCGATCCTTACATTACACGCCAGACGCATCAACCACTAAAAAATCCCGCCGTTTTGCGAATTTATGCAGTTGTATTTGGTAACCAAATTTATCAAGATATAAATAAGAAAATTATATCATTTAGTTCCTATTAAAGTTTAAAATCTCGATACATACATTTCTATTGCAACATATATTTTATCAATATTTTAAAATATGCCAACTGTAGACCAGTTCACTTTAAAGTGTTAAATATATATTTTTTGAAGACTGGAAGATATCGGCAAAGAGCCTCGGTCGACACAGGGGATAAACGCAAACGACACCGATCCGAGGACAACCGACGAACGTCTGACGAGAAAAGAGATAGGCGGCGTCGATCAGAAGATGTTAAGAGGGAAGATAGAAGAGACAGAAGGAGAAGTTCTGAAGATAGCAGAGGTGGTCACAGAAATTACGACAGAAGACCTTCTAACATGTGAGTGGCAAGAAGTGTACTGCAGTATTTATTTTATTATACAGTCAACATCTCTGTTAACAAAAGCCATCCGAAGGAAAGGCTAATCAAAATCTGTATTTAAGTAACGTGTTTTGGAGGTTACAACACGTATATTTTTAATTTTTTTAATCCACGAAAGGTTGTCGATGATTGGCATTTATTAACAGGGTGAATTTTATCCGTATCTGATTTTTATCAAAAGTTAAACTGTTTTATATGAATTCTCCCTCATCAAGGAATTTTAAAATGGTTTTAATAAGATTTATTCACCTGCAATGTACAGTTATGCAAATGCTTAGTTATATGAAAATATTTAGACAAAAGGATATCACTCACGAATAAGCAACGGAACAAAACAAAATACGAAGAGGAAGTACGTCTGTTAATGAGAGATCCTGAAAAACCTCTCTCACGTCCTAGCAATCGGCTAAACAAGTGTTCAGTATCGCTTTCTAATGAACGCGTCTAAATCAATTAAAGTAAGGTTCCATTTTCGTACTGCGCATCCTGGCTTTCAACGCAACACTACTTTTTTTTAACATTTTCAATGCTTTGAAAGCAAGTCAAGCACAATTTCAGTGTTTTTTTCATATATATTTCTTGTTCTTTGGGATCATCGACTCCAGCACTTTAGTGTTGAAGATGGAATACCGTTTGGTCCAGTGCTAGGGGGCGTGGAAAATTTGAAGATGTTGCACATGACAGTAGCTCTCGAAATGAGTCTTAATTTTCATACAATTTAATTTCCATTGCTTCTGGGGTATCTCCCCTTCGCCTTGTATACATCCTCTCGTATATAAATTAAAAACAAAAAAGTACACTATACCTGAAAGTCCTTGTTATGTAATTTCAGAAGTAGCCACAGCAGATATTAGACGAAGACAGACTGAAGAAGGCATTCCATTTATAGAAATATAGAAAATGACTTTATGAAAAAAGAAACGCTCAATTTTCTTTCAAATAACAATGAATTAATTATTTTATCATAAAGCAACACGCCTCAAGATTTATGCACATTTTTATGAAATTTTTGAAATTAAATCAAATGTATAAAATTGTATAGGAACCGAAGGAAAGCTATTTACACATTATCAATGACACTTACCACTCACGTTTATTACAAAAAGATGTCAAAATATGCAAAAAATGCCCTTACTGCGTTACTAACGCTTTCACATAATGAAAGATTCACCATTTATTGCTCATAACATGTAAATTATAACTTGATAATTGAATCTTTCAACTTTTCCTAAAATCTTAGTATGTTTTTTCACATGTTTGATTTATTGACTATTTTTTCGCTCATCTGGAGGCATGCTGCTTTAACCTTGTTTGCGCATTTCTGCGTATAGTTGTGTAATATATTAAAATTCTATGTTCAACATGAAAGAATAATATATATTCTTTTTCCACTGTGGTTTGTTTAAATATAAAATTTGCTTAAGACGTTGATAGGATGAAATGTCTATTGATGTAAGTTTTTTTTGTTTATTTGGTTTTACGGCACACCAACACAATAGAGATTAGTCGTATGGCACAGAAATATAAAAGATGACTTTGGCAAACCTCGGAAGTTACAAACTTTAAGCAACACCAGACCTGGTCCTGTGTTCACCAAGAAAAGATCAGGATCTTTAACAATAACAAAAATATGCGTACTAAAAAAAGGATCAATTAAAAGATCAATATCAATATTTGGATCAACTGTTAATTTGATGTATTGCAGCTGTGTACGAGTCCAATAGAATCAGTATAATTGTGTTCTAACCGATGTTTAATGACATCCTCATAAACACCACAAATGTTGGCATTATGACAGACCTTTGTTGTATAAGTATTATTTGGATTTAAGATGGTTTTTTTCCTGAAAATAAATCCGAGGCTAGTTTGGCATGCGATATGCCTTTGATATAGATATTAATTTTTGTTCTCTTGAAATGAAAACGAGGCTAAATCAATAGGATTGAATCCAATAATGACTTTTATTGGAAAAATCACGTGGTGCATACATTAAAAAGTCATTGGATATATTTCATAAGTTCATAAGGTGTGCACTTAATATTAATATTGCATTTTGTAATAATGAGGAGGAATCCCGGCCGGAATTAATAACCAATACTTATTCCGTTGAAGTGTGTAGTTTTATAAATTAGTTATTTTTTTTTAATTCATGCAAATCTAACCAGAGAATGATCAATTAAGTTTGAATTTGTTTTCAAACTGAAAAAAAAAATGAAGCACATGAAATACCATTTTTTACTCGTTATATTAACCAATATACGTATATATTATAATACACACGTGTGAAACAACTGTGTTCAATGTTAAGTATTTGTTAATAAACAGACAGTTGTAAACGGAATGGTTTCTTTAAGCATAATAATATCATATAAACATTTATCGTATTTCAGGCGAATATTGTCATTTTCCAATGGTACATAGTATAATTTCAACATGTTCAATTTAGCTGTTGTGCTTTCCTTGATATGCGCGCAAAACTTGTGAAGCAATATTAGGTTTACCACATTTTATCATCAAAATATAGCCGTATTTAAAAGTTTCTGCAAACATAACGAAATAATTTTTTTTATATAAATTGATACCATAAAATGTTACAACTTATGTAACATTAGAATATATGTCTGAACCATGGTATTATGTTAAATTAAAAAAAAAGATAATGAAGAAAAAGAAGAAGAAGGAGATGAAGATGATGATCATGAGGAGAAGGAGGATGAAAAATAAGAAGATAATAATTCTAATGGTGGTGATGTTATGTCATTTTTGTAATAGCGATATTTTGATGATGATGATGTTGATAATGATGAGGATGATGATGATAATGATAATGATGATGATGATGATGGCAATAAGAAACAACCAGTAAGCGGGTCGAGAGGGTTCGAATCATACATGCCGACATAATATAAAAGATTGAAGTTGAGCAAAATTGTAGAAGCTCGTCAGAGTATATGAGGTCAGTAATAAGTCAACGGGTGTTATTCCATTGATCTGATATACTATAAATTGCTCCGGAGAATTTCGAGTACTCTTTGAGGTTTCGCAAATTAAAAAAGGATGGGCAAAATCCATCAATTTGAATTCCATTTGATTAGACATCAGTGTATCCACGGGTCCTATTAATTTAACTTAAAAACATGCTAATTGTTACTAATTGGATCTACCTTTGATCATTTTGTTATATACGAGGTATCGATATCTCAAAGGCCGACTTTGTTTTTTCTAAACCGCTTTGTGGTTTGTAAACTTAATTAGATTACGCTTTTAAAAAAACGTTATGTCTCGTGGCGGAGGACATTATGCGTTGTTAAACATGATTAAAAAGGATACCGGAAAGCGTAATCCGTGACAAAACATTACTGACATAACTGATAATGCTCCAGCGGGAGCTATATTTGACGGAAGATCTAGATGGCGTAACGTTTGATACAAAGCTGTCAGCTAATTTGAGCTTAAATAAATAATGTTTATACCCATGATAAAACTACAGTTAGTTAAACTCATATAAGCATCGCACATTACATTGGTTTAGATAATATTTCATCGTAATTATTTATAAAATGAACTTAAAAAACAACAAATTATAACGTTCTGCCACGTTTATAATGCGTACATGTAACCTTATAATGTGAAATGATTCCCAGACGTATTGTCAGAACTGTTTGATTAGTAACCCTTACAGCCATATAAGTTGTTGACTTAACAAGTTGGTACTGTTAATGGTTTTGTTTGTAGAATGATTAGTTCTTTGATCTAATATTAAACAACTTATGTTGACTGGCAACATGGCATAACATTGTGTTGTTGTTTCACAAAGAGGATACCTTTGATATCCATTGTTTATATATAGAATTGTTTTGACTTAGAAACATCAAGTATAGAGGTAAGCAAAACAGCAAAACAAAACCAACAACCAGCAGCAGCATAAGGAAACAGAAAGAAAAAATGAACAAATTAAAAGAAAAGAAAAACATGAACGTAAAATATTTGCAAAAAGATCTAATATTAAACAAAGATAAAAGAAAAGACAGTGAGAGAAAAGAAGGCATTGCCACATATGTATAGAAATTACATTTAAAGGAAATAAAGGTTTGATGTATTAACAATTAAGCGCTTAATCATTATTAATTATCATTTTTATATTTGGCTTTTAGAGTTCCCATTGATAAAAACAAAATGATATTAAAACTTAGGATTTACAGATATAAGATACTTCTACATATTGTGTTATACTATAAACTAAAACGAGACACATCCCGACCTGTGACCAAATTACCCATTGCTAAGGTTTTATGTTGATTATATTCACTGCAAATTAAAGTAACAGTAATATAATCCTGCAAAAAAAGAGATTGTTTTAGCATAATTTTATATTTTGCATACAGGACGTTAAGTACCTGCAAGCAGTAATACCAATTGCAAATTCTGATACGATTACCCAATCAAGTAAACTTTTTTTTTTCAATAATATTCGCCAAAATAGAAATTCAACCGGGAACTTCGACAGATTGTTTTGTTAACGCACGTCAACAAATAATAGATATTGATGTTAAACATATGGTGAAGGTAACAAACATAAAATTGTGTATTTTGATCATGAATTACTTTTTTATCTTTTTTTTTTGTCTATGGCCGTAATGATCCTAACTTTAGACTTATTATTTCAACACAAGCAATACATGTTTTTCAACAGAATCGGGGATATTCAATAACGCAAAATGCTAATACTTTATAAAGCTTTTAAAGCGGCCTTCAGCTTTCTAAATGTTAAATATGTTATATAAAAAACATCGTTTTATATAATTGTCAAATAAAAAGGGTATAAAAAAAATTTGTCGTCGATAAAATTCACAGACAATAAGGTACCCCCTCGATACTTCTAATCTACAGGTCCGTTCTCAATACATGTATGTCATTTAGTTTACTGGACGATTCGTTTCTTAATCTTTTATTTTGATAAAAACGTCACAGCGCATAATAAATAGCTTTCGGGGAAGGCTTAATAGTGCATTGATACACTCTTCCTAGGTAAAATTACTGGAATACATAGTTTGCAAAAAAAACCAAAAAAAAAAAAAAAAACAACACAGAATTGTTCTCAACAAAAAAAAAAACAAAAAAAAAAACAAAAAAAAAAAACAAAAACATAATGAAGGCCGCTTTAATAGAAAATGATTTAGGCCGTAACACTTTACTGCTTGAGCGGATGGAGCGTTTTGGGTCGTAAAACAGAAGCATGTATTTGATGTTTGTTTCCAACGTGGTTTAATGTATTTTTTATGTTAACGTTACATAAAACAAACGATTAATTTTCTATTGATTACCATTAAACAAGTCTGAGTACTTTGATAAATTGTTTGTCAATTATAATATATTATCTAGTTTGACTTTGCCAAAGCATGTGTTACTTGTACAATACCTAAAACAGTAAATAATTAATGTAAAAAAACACTGGGCTGCAAGATGTTTTCCATTTTATTATAAGATATACTTTGCTTATCTTTAGGTAACATACGTTTTTTTGTTGTTGCAGAAATGTATTCAACTCCATGATTTCTCTTCTGAATATGTCTAATTTCAATAAAAATTGCGTAAAACTATGAATGGGAAGCTGCATTTCCTATTACAGGTCAAATAAAGGTAGTCCTTCCTGTAAAAATAATCTTTCATTTTGAATGACACTGTGTATTTTTACGGTTTTTTTGTTCTATTTTGCGCTATCATATTAAGATTTAAGCCAAGAAAGAAAAAGTTATCTTTATCTTATGACTATGAAACTACATTAATCTTCATTGAACAACATGCATACATGTACCTATAGGAATGTGGACAAATATTTAAAGCTTGAAATATCAGTTAACTGTGTATTATAATTGTTGATGAAATATTTAAAAAGACAACAATTAGAAACCTTGAAAAAATGTAAAAAATGATAAGAACGAATTCCCATTGAATTGTAAAAATAACGAAATTTGAAAATAAATTAGTTTAATAGGTATCATTTAAAAATTTGTGGATACTTCATTTAGAAATATTACATTTTATTTTTAATATTAATGTATATAATTGCTATTTAGTGAAGTATGTTTAACGAATTTAAACCTACCTGATACATATAGCTAAAGATATACTTTGCTCAAATTTGATTTTTGAAACTTTTGATAATTGCTATACAGTCTTTTTGTACATATACAATCTCCACATAAAATAGATATGTTATGTATAAAATCCTACACACTATAAATGGACACTCTATGTATATATAGTGAAATTTAATAATTGGCTTTTTTTCAAGACAGGACCAGCTTAATCTGACCCGTAATAAGAAACGCAGATGCCTATTACATAGTTTGAACGTTATTTTTTTAAATAAGAAATATTTTACTAATAAT